TTAGGCACACGTGATAACCACTACACTACGGAAACAGATGCTATATAAAATTTAGAATATTAATTTGATAAAAAGCATCATCTTTTTTTATATTCGAAGCTCAAAGCTAAGAGAAAAACGAATAGATATAAGAGAAAAAAGAAAGTAAGGGAAGTGGGAATTTAAAAGATGAAAGATGAAAATGTAATAAGAGTATGAATACCTAAGCTGAATCTTTAAGTAGGTCTTACTTCATGGTTCATCAGTAACAAAAGAAGGTTTTCTTTGAATTTTTGGTAAGTTTAGATTGCATGGATTTATTAATTAGAGACAATTAAGTTTTAATGTTATGATTTTAAATCCTGTGCTGACCTTTTAAATCTATTTTTTGGATTTAAAAAAATAAAGACCTTCTATAGAAAGACATAAAAGAGGCATGCATTTATGTATTTGGTTTATTGGACATCTTCAAGCATGTCTTCCATTCAATTGTAACCTCCGCGTCGCAAAGGATTAGCGCGTTGTACTTCCTATTCAAAGGATGTGGGTTCGAGTCCAACCGGAGGTAAGTCATTTGCGTTAGGAATGTAAATGTGACACACTTTTTTTTCGTATTAGCCAGAAAACATTTAAAAAAATTCCTTTTAGAACCAACCACGAATTTTGGGTGTATACTATTTTGCTGTAAAAAAGGGTTGATGAAAGCCATTTGTTGCCACTGAGTAACTAGGGAACGTTCGGTTTCAGGGACAGTAGAAAACCATGATTGGCACACAAGTAAGTTCAAAAAATGCATCGGGAAAGACAGTTTATGACAACTTTATATCACAAGCCGGCAAAAGTTTAAAATAACACCTCCGGTGGCACTCGAATCCACAACCTTTGAATTAGAAGTCCAACGCGCTAACCCATTGCTCCACGGAGCCTAAACCACAAATAAAGCGAGTGGAAAATCAAACCTACAACAATTTTAAACGGCTTTTGTACTTTTTGGTTATGTCAAGCTATTTATCATTTAACAAAAACAATTCTTATTCTCATCTCTTTTCAAGGGCACCGCTGGCCGCCATGCTCTCATCTTTTAACTCTCTTGAGAATGCTCGCAAATCATCAATACCGTACTAGTCAAGACATTTCACTGGGAATCTGATAACCCTAAATAAGATTCCAGTAGTTATTTACTATGATTAACGATAACAAGAACAGGTCTGACGTAATCATGTTAATGACATTAATTATCGTAATTTGTTTTCCCGGCAAAGGGTTGTTCTTCTAGATTCAATCCACTGGAGCACCAACAACGTGGCAATGAGGAATCTGAAGATTCCTTTAGTGATTCCTTTGATAGGAAACAAATTGGCCAGCCAGGATCATGTTGCTCATTATCAGCTAGTTTAAAACATACCAAACGTGAATCCAGAATGATTTCAAGGAGGATGGAAAGACAGCACATCCAGCTGATCTCAGAAAAATATTTAGCCGATCTGAATCCAGTAAATTTGCAAAACTGAGGTGTCTCCTCTTGAAATTATGGATTTCCAGGCCACCAAATAAAAAAAATAAAAATAAAAAAAGTTACAAATCTGATAACAGCAACGCAATACCTAATGAGTTTTATATCAAGTTTATTGCAATGGTGGACAGATTTTTTATTTTTATCCGTTCAATTTTTGCAGGCTTCGTGACACCTTAGTTTTGCGGTGACGTAGTCATTTCTACGTCACTATTTCAGATCAGCTAGATAACATAGAAGTCAAAATCCAAGTATAATTCTGCTGAACAATCTAATAGACCATATACGAAAAACGAGTGCAAGACTGTGAGCGAGCACCACGAAAAATTAACGATTTCAAATATATATTTTCAACACGAGAAAAACCATGTCTAAATTAGTAATTTCGGAAAGTTCTATTGTCATATATTAAATCCCT